GACCATGCCGGGTCGGGTCAAGTACATACCAAATATAGTTATGGACTTAGACATTAATCCAACAAAATTAACCCAAACATTTCCAAATCATGTCATTATGATGAAGTCACCGGGTGAATAGATACTCCATCAAAAATTAAAATCAAATTTCTCAAACTTAAAGGGTACACCCAAAACCTACGACTCATAGTGCAGCTGCAATCGCCATTACTGCAACACTTTCATTGGCTATGGAAACATATATAATGGAAGAATTAGTGGTACACAGGAGGATACAAGATCGGGTGGGGAACTCACCAAATCTGCAACATGAACGACAACGACTGGTGGAGCTGTCGTAGGGCTTGTCGTCGGAGCTGTCGAGGCGGCGACGATCGACAAAGTTGAGCGACATTCCAGATCTATGAGAAAGTGGCGGTGAGGAGATGATAGTGAGCTTTTGATATATTTGATTTGAGAATCAGTAAGGATGATTGCACAAACCTTGATTTCTGATCGTGGTTTTGGTGGTTGATTTTTGGTGGCTGGAAGGAGAGATGGTGGTGAGGAGTTAGGTTTTGAAGAAGACGAGGGTCGTAAAGAAGATGATGGTGGATTGTATCTTTGGGTATTGAAACTGGAAAGAGAGAGAGAGAGAGAGAGAGAGAGAGAGAGAGAGAGAGAGAAAGAAGGTGGGCGCATTCTTATTTTTTTAATTATTAAAATAAATAAATTAATATTAGATTTAAAAAGAAATGAAAGAAAAATTGAAAATAAATACCCCAAGGCTGTTACAATCATTTCACTATTCGGAGGGACCAAAAACGCAATAAAACTTGCTCAAAAGGACTACCGATCCAAAAAAGTCGTCTTTTGGACTAAAACCCCCCAAAAATGCATACCACAGGGACCATTTTTGCAATTTTGTCCTTAAGTTATTGGAAGAGGGATCAAAACCACAACAAAACTTGTTAAAAGGGACCAAATCAACAAATTTTCAAACGTTTGGACCTTAGCCACATAAAATAAGAAACCACACGGAAAATTTTTGCAATTTTGTCTTTTAATACAATAACATCAAGGACTTAATAAAAATGACCATATATTATCAAGTTATACAACTATGATACTATTGTGACGATTCGCTCTTAGAGCTTCCATAATGCATAGTTTAATGGGAGAGTTAAATGAGGTGGCATGCCTAATTGGCATTCAATGGATTAAACTCTACCATTGTGGGATGCCATGTTGGCATTCAAAGGATATGGAATTCAATGGTCATTGAACTCTTCAATGGAAAAAAGGAAACCTTTTAACTATTAAATATATATTCCATCGAACTCTATTGAGTTCAATGCATTGTAGGAAAATTAATGTAGAGTTGTATAGTAAGTAAAATGATGACGTGCCAATCCATTAAACTCTAATAAGTTAATTCATTGTGGATGCCCTTATTATTAATACAATAACATCTAGGACTTAATAAAAACGAATTATCATAAAAGACTTACAACATTTGATGTCTTTTAGCAAAAGTAATTATAATAATCCACGTTTCTAACACATTGTAAATCAGGATAATAAAGTTGGAACTGAATTATCTCCATACATGACTACATAAAACTGGTTGATGTTGACTCACAGTATGACAATATAAGAAACTCTTCTTCTCCATCATTGCACTTCACTTTTCCAAAATCTGGTAGAACCATAGATGACATATTTGATGTTCTAATGGCTTCCAACACCGATGCTACTTCCTTCATTGTTGGTCTGTTCTTTCCATACAAATTTAAGCATCTAAATGCCAATTTAACTACTTCCATTAATTCATCCATAGCACCCTCCCTCACAATCTTTTCATCAAGAATAGACATCACTCGATCTTCTTCAAAGGCCATCATAAAGTGTGTAACCAAGCTTCTAGTTTCACCGAATCTAGTTAGTGATATTGGTTTTTCTCCTGTTAAAAGTTCAACCAAAACAACCCCAAAGCTATAAACATCACTCTTTTCAGTAAACTGACTAGACTGAAAGTACTCTGGATCCAAGTACCCAATTGTCCCTTGGACCAATGTAGTTAAGTGAGTTTGGCTTATTGAGATGAATCTTGAAGTTCCAAAATCTGATATCTTGGCTCTATATTTTTCATCCAAAAGTATATTGGTAGATTTGATGTCCCTATGGTATATTGGGATTGAAGTGGCTGAATGCAAGTAAGAAAGCGCTCCAGCTACCTCCGTAGCAATTCGTAATCGCATGTTCAAAGGAACAAAAACCTCCCCGGTCTCATCATGAATATGCTTGTACAATGTTCCATTTGGGACAAACTCTGAAACTAGTAAAGGAACCTCTGTCTCTAAGCAACATCCCAATAACTTAACCACATTTCGATGATTGACTTGTGAAAGGATGACAACTTCATTGATGAATTGCTCTAATTGACTTTCATCAACTGCCTTTGACTTCTTGACCGCCACAAGCCTTCCATCGGTTAGCATGCCTTTGTAAACTGTACCTTGACCTCCCCGACCAAGAATCCTATTCTCGTTAAAGTGATCGGTTGCATTTTCGAGCTCATAGGAAGTGAAAAGGTTGGTTTTATCAGCTAAACCCTCCTTACCGGCTTCCTGTTGTTTTAGAAGAAGGCCTCCATTGCGTTCAAAGAATCTTTTTCTTCGCCTTTTTTCTTTGGTTCTTCGTATTATTTTGTATGTTGCAATGCTAGTGACGGTAAGAATTAGGACCCCAATGCTTATGCCAACACCTAATGTTGAGAGCAAGAGAATATTAAAGATTAATGCTTATTGTGAAGTATGACACACTTATAAACAACTTGTTCCAAGAGAATTTAATTAACCATGATACTTGAAATTTTGTTGCAAACTAACCACTTTTGAAGTAGGGTACTTATCCCATGAGTTAGTACACACTTTCCTACCGGAGGAACATAATATTTGTGAGATGTAAATGATGTACAAAATGGTGTGTCATGTGGCTGAAATAAGAATCCATTACCCATATATTTCAATCCATATTAGAATTGAAACTCACACATTGTGGCAACCGTGACCCTTTCTGCCGGTATACCACAATGATGCCAACTTACGGCTTTCAGAAATGATCAACCGTAAAAGTACCATTGAGAATTGTTTAAAATCATCCATTTCTAGCATAGTTTATTATTTTTTTTGGCATTCTAACAAATAGGTCAGTTAGAAATGAAATTAAAATTACGAACGAATAGATACAAGCATATACAATTTTGTGTAGAGGAACACAAAAGTGAACAAAAAATATAAGGGGAAAGATTTGGCATCACCTAGAAAAATAGCTCGAGATGATGATGATTTGTTTCCACCATTGTGGAATCGATGGTCACAATAGAAGTTCCGGACACCATCATTTGATTCATTGTATCTGCAGTAGCCCCAAGTATCCATGCACTTTGTACATTCTTCAGTAACTAAAAGCAGACAAAAGTAAGAGTAGGAAGTAAGCACTATGCTTAATTAATAACCACTCACCAAAAACACCAAAAAAGAAATTAAAAAAGAAAGAACAAGAAAAGCTAAGATGCATCCATAATCACACACCTTGACATCCTAAATAAGGGTTTCCTTCTTCTATTTCAGACTGGCAGTGACATGTCACAGTCGACACTAAAGTGTCATTACTCGTTTCCAATTTATGTGTTTTGATGACACCGCAGCTCCTTTGGCTGATATCATTTTCTGTTAGAGTCCAGCGAAGTACTAACGGGACCAAAGAGTTGCTCCCAACACCAGATTGGCCCGGAAAGAACTTACGAACATATGAATCAGCAGCTTCCAAGAAAGCAGACACACAAGATCTAGACTTATATCCAGTCATCTGCCTACTGGAAGTCGTGACATTCACAGCAAACGTCTTCATATAATAAGGAACGTTGGTTTGACAACAATTGATCCCAAAGCAATCTCTTCTCCTATAACTTACAGGTTTCTGAAAGCATGTCGGTGTACACCCGGTGAGCGCATTTCCATTGCTCAAGATAACAGCAGCACCGCATCCCTCTACGATGAATTTGTTGTGTGATTTGGAAAACAGAAACGGGGTGTCACCAAGGTCAATGTTCAAGAGTTGACTGCTATTCGAAACAGGGTTTTGACAACCGGAGCTCATTGTGACATTGACAAGAACCGTCTGATCCTTCAAGTCTACAACTAACAATGGCAGGTTTTTGAGAGCAGATAAATATGGCGTGGATGAGTTGCAATCGACAGCGTACCATTTGTTGAGAAAACAGTTGGGTCCGATTCCAAAAGGGTATGGAATCATGACATTCCCACACATTTCTGTGCATCCTGGCTTGACGTAACTGGGAACCAATGCTGTTGCCACCATTGTTAACGAGATGAAGATGATTAAAAGGTAAATATGAAGCAAGTTCATTATTTTTGGTTAGTGGAAGACAAATTGTGCTTCTTATGCATAGTTGGGATTTGGGATTTATTGTGGTCGTTATAAATGGATGTTAGATAAAAGCTTAGGTCGTCCTCAACGACCAAAGACCATGTATAGGACTACTGCATGAATGGATACGTTCGCTTTCCACGGATTGACTGATCATTATATTTCTTAAAATGGAAAAAGAAAACATTATATTAATCAACAGTTTTTGAGTATAAAATGTGGTTATATTTGTTCTTATATTTTACTAATTGTAAAAACATTATTTGAATATTAAAAAGTACAAATTTATTCTTTTTAAAATAGTAAAAGGACAATGAAATTGCTTTTCGTTTAACTATAATTTATCATTATTAAACGTTTACAAACTTAGTTTTTATATTATTGTTTCTTATTCAAATAATGTTAGGTCCCGCAATAAGAATCAACAGATGCATTTACTTTCCCCGGATGATTTTCTGCATCTTCCACCGTAAATTTAGGCGTTTGATTTCCTTGGCGTGTAAGAAGGAGGGATGGTTGTACTTAAAACATAGATAATACTAATGTAATATTTGCTAGACGTGTAAGAAGGAGCATCTCCATTGAGATTTTCATCACACCAGATCAAACAATCCGTACCTTACAAACATCCTACGATTCTACCTCATCGTACAATTCCACATCATCATTAACTCTAATGCATATATTATAGAGTAAATTACACGAATGGTCCCTATAGTTTAGGGTAATTTGCACGTTCGGCGCCTAACTTATTTTTCTAACTCGGAAGTTTACTACTGTTTGTTTTTTATACACGTTTGGTCTGTGTCTTATCTATTTTTCCGTTGATTTTTTAATTTATTTAAATAAACACACTCAACCCCACATCTCACCTTACCTTATCTACCCACCATTTTTTCCTATTTATATAATAGTATTTTTAGGTAAGACAGGGACCAAACGCGTAAAAAAAACAAACAGTAAGGACCAAGCGCGTAACAAAAACAAACAATAGGGACCTTCCGAGTTAAAAAGTAGTTAGGGACCAAGCGCACAAATTACGCTAAACCATTAAGACCATTCGTATAATTTACTCTATATTATACTCACTTCATACCAAATTAATTGTTTACTTTTGACTTTTGAAGTCTTTTTTTTTTTATTTTTGACCTTAAATATTTTTATTTGTGTTATATGTTTTCTTGATAAAACTTGTAACAATAAAAAGACATTTAAAATACAATCCATTCATATATTTTGCATCAAGTATTATCTATCAAAAATAAAAATATTTAAGGTCAAATTTGAAGAATAAAAACTTCTAAAGTCAAATGCGGACAATTAATTTGCGACGGAGGTAGTAATAGATAAAGATCACTTTACATCAAACCCCATATAACTCCACCTAGTCACCCTAGAATGCATACACCTATCATACCACTCCATTTCATCTACATGTGAGCATCGAAACCTGGTACACACTTTTGGAACCGAAACCGCTTAGATGAGTTTCGGTTCCGGTCCAACTTTTGAAGAACCGTCGGTTCCGACCAAAATACGTCTATGCTTATATCCATTTTCATCCTGATTCAACTTTATACAATCCTTATTGTGATGCTCTAAAAATTAAATACCCTCTCACCTTTTCTTCCAATCTATCTTCAAACTCACTATATGAAAACAAATGTTCAAAATCAAGAAATGAGATTAAGAAAGATAATTAGTAGATTCAATATGTAAGTAAAAATATATGTATAAACAAAAGATAAAAGTATATTTAATTTCTAAAAACGCAATCATAAATTCAATTCATTATGCCCCACTTTAAAATAGGTCCCACCAGGATTAGTCAAATGTGATACATTTCTATATTGAAGTGGGTTTGTCTAATTGTCTTGCTTAATGGTTTATATAATATCAACTTATTTCATTCCAATTTATGATTTTTGCTTTTATATTTTGAACTAGTTTATGCTTTGAAACTGATTTTTCTTTAATTGTTACTCTCGATGATTAATTTATGTTAAATGGGTTTGATACCTTTGATTTGTTTTGTTTAATGGTTATGTGACCCAAGGAAAATGTATATTGTTGAAATGGTTTTTTTTAATAATTTTTTTTTGTTTAGTCGAGTTTTATTGTTTAACAGACCACACGAATAAGATTTATGCTTAACTGTTTTGCATTTCTAACTTAGTTACTTGTATTTGTTGCATGTTTAATGGTTTTGTTTAACAATTTTTATTAGCTATGTCTCAATATTTATGCTTAACCGTTTCTTAGCTATGTCTCGTAGTAGATTTCAATTGTAAAATGACATTTAGTTGGATGTTTTAATGTTATTTTACTTTTTAGAATTTTTTTTATGGGAAAACTGCAATAAAGTCCCTACATATTGGCTTCATAATCGATTTAGTCTATATATATATATTTTTTATTCAATTAAGTCCCAAATACCGCTAATCGTATTCAATTTAACCCTTTGACCCGGTCAAAAGGTCATCCAACTTTCAAAAATTACATTTTTGGCCCAGATTTCAAAATTTATTACAAATTTGGTCCAAAATTTACACTTTTTGCCCAGATTTTAAATTTTGTTAAAAATTTGGTCCAAACTTTACCCTTTTTGCCCAAATTTTAGAAATTTATTATGAATTCATCCTAATTTTAGTTTTTTTTACAACTTTTTTTCTCAAAGAATTGTTTCTAATATGTTTTTTCTTTATAAAATCATATTTATACAAAAAAAAAACGTATTTTCACATAAAAATCTTATATTTTGTAAATAAAAACTTTTTTGTATATGAAATATCTAGTTATAAAAATAGGTATTTATTAAGTATATAAATATATACAAATCCGTTTTTATAAAAAAATGCATACAAAAACGTATTTTACAAAAAAAATATATACAAACACCTATTTTATCTTTATTTTTTTTTATAAAATCGTGTTTGTTTACATTTTTTTTATAAAAACGTGTTTGAATAATTTTTTATATAAT